CAGGTATATTGCAAAATTGTATTTTGAATATACTTTCAGGGTAGAAACAACAGGGATTAAATGTGAGTTGTATAAGGAAGAGAGAAGGTTGACTACTTGGGTTTTAACCAGAACAACTTGAAAGATAAGTTACTTACTGAGCTGAGAAGACTGTAGAAGGAAGAATTTTTTGTTTGATGTGTGGTGTGTGTGTATATGCAGGTATGTGTAGGGTGGAGATGAGAAGGTTGGCTTTTGAATGTGTTAAGTTTGGCTGCCGCATTGAGAAAGGACACAATTACTGAGGAAGTGATTACAGCACTGTATGAGAGAGGATGTGCCTGGCAGTAGAAGTAATATGAACTGGAGATAAGAGTTTGAAGGTTGAGCTGACACAATTTGCTGATGATGTAATGAAGGATTAAAGAGAGAAAAAGAGGGAAATGAACGATTTCTCCCAGGTTCTTCTCTCAATAACAAAACCAGTGGAACTAACTGATACAGGAAGACTGGGAAGAACAAATTTGAGGGAAACCAATGATGTAGAAATGCTAAGTAAGGGGCCTCCCTAGTGGCGCAGGCGGTTGAGCATAGAGCTGTGAAGCTGTCCACAGCCTCTGCAGCGCGGGTTCGATCCCAGCTGGCTGGGGAGATGCCCACATGGCGCGGCAGACCTCTCCTGTCTCACCCGCTGTTCCCCTCAGTAGTTTATTTCAGTCAGTCTGCCTGTTCTGTTCCCTGCTGTCTCTGGTGAATCCTCTCACCCTCCTGTACATCTGGCCTGTACCCCTTTTCTTGTATGCATGAATAAATAAATCTTTAAAAAAAGAAATGTCAAGTAAAACAGGGTTATGTGAGTTTGGAGTTTCAGTGAACGGCCTAGACCAGATATATACAGTTAGGGGTTATCAGCATGTAGGCAATATTTAAAGCCATGAGACATTTTAAAAGAAGTCACCAAAAGGGTCAGTGTAGATAGCAAAGAATTCCATGAACTAAACCCTAGGAAACTCTAATATTAGAAGATTAGAGATAGGGAAAAATGCAGCAAAGAAAAATAACAAAGTTCAATTGAAGTTGGAAAAAAAACACTTTTGTTATGAACAGTTTTGTTATTTGTTATGACAAGTCACTTCAAAAAAATGCAGCGATCAATTGTTTAATTCTGTTGACAGGTCAAGTAAGATGAAGTCAGAGAATGACCACTGGATTTAGCAATGTGGAAAGTCACCAGTGACTTTGAAAAAGACCAGGTTCATTGCAGAGATAAAGGCAGATAGTCTTAGCAGAATGCATTCAAGAGAGAAGGCGAGAAGGGGCGCATCACACACAGACAGCTCAAGGAGTTTGTTATAAAGGAAAGCAGAGAATGTTGTTGGTGGCTGAAGGAGGATGCAGGGCATATAGCTTTATCTTTTTCATTTGTTTTTTTAATTGTTTTTTAAGATGCAGGAAATTACAGCAAGTTTATATACTGAAAGGAGTAGTCTGGTGGTTAGGGGAATATGAAGATACAGGGAAGAAATGCCAAGGCAATGTGTTTGAGTAGGTAGGAGGGAATAAGACTCAAGTCACAAGTCAGAGTAGGCCTAAAAGGGGAGAACAAATAGTTCATCCATATTAAGAGGGAATTAGCATGTACAGTTAGACAGATATGATGGTAAGGGTTTGGGAGAGTCCCTTTTTTCCCCCCATTTTAAAATTATTTTTTAAATTTTATATATTTTTTACATCATTTTTCATTTTTGCACAATGTATGCATTTTCATTTTGGTTATAGTCCCCATACAATTCCCATCCCCCCTTGTTTTGATCCTACTCCCTCCTCCCCTCCCCCCCATAGTGTGTCTGGTTTATAGTTGCTTGTTGATTTTTATTTTATTATAATTAGTCTTTTTCCTGGTCCCTTATTTAGTTTTCTAGATTCCTGCTATGAGTGAGACCATCTGGTATTTTTCTTTTTCTTTCTGGCTTATTTCGCTGAGCATGATCCCTTCCAGCTCCATCCACGTTGCTGCAAATTGCATGAATTTATCTTTTCCGATTGCCGAGTAATATTCCATGGTATATATGTACCACATCTTCTTGATCCAGTCATCTATTTTTGGGCATTTGGGTTGTTTCCATAGCTTAGCTATTGTAAATAGTGCTGCTATAAACATAGGGGTGCAGGTGCCCTTTTGAATTAATGTTTCTGTGTCCTTTGGGTAAATACCTAGGAGTGGAATTGCTGGATCATATGGAAGCTCCATCTTTAGCAGGTTAAGGAATCTCCACACAGCTCTCCATAGTGGTTGGGCCAGTTTGCACTCCCACCAGCAGTACAGTAAAGTTCCTTTTCCTCTGCATCCTCTCCAACATTTGTCCTTGCTAGTTTTTTTCATATGTGCCATTCTGGGAGGGTCCCTTTTGACTGCCTTTTTCAGTGATATAGGGAGCATCACCACCAAGAGTGAGTGAAAGGAAAAACCTACAGGAAGGTTGAGGAGAGTCAAGAAATGAAAGTTATCTGGAAAAGTGTTCATTCTTACTCAACTGTTTTTTTCTTGAAATGTCTGCCATCTAAATAGTGGGCACAAATCTAATCTTATCACCCTCTCTCTACCCAGAAATCAAAGTTTATCTCACTTAGGCTTGGTTCTTATCTCTAGACCTCTTCTTCCTTATAGTTTAGAAAATTTAGAAAATTTACAGAATTTTCCCAACCTTGATTTTAGACACTTGTAAATTCAGCAAACTCTTAGACTCCTGGCTTCTTTTCAGAGTACGTTCATTCAGTTCAAACAGGATTGAATTCAGTTCAAACACTACCATCATAAAAGGTCATGAGACTCAGGTTTCTTCCTTGTAGCTACTAGCGGTACCAGCATTCTCCTCCCCCTTCACCCTTCCACCCCCAAGTAAATTATTAGATACTGTCCACATATGACCAATTACAAGGCAAAAACATACTCATTCACAGGTGAGATTTATATTCATTGACAGAACCTGAAGGAAGAGGACTTGGAAGTTCCCTAATCCTATGCAAGATCTATCTAGTCCTCTCATCAGACAAGTCAATGTACCTACTTCAGAAAACCAAGCTAGGGCCTCCCTGGTGGTGCAAGGTGTTAAGTGTCAGCACTAAGAGACTATCCACAGCTACTGCAGCACGAGTTCAATCCCTGGCCAGGGAGCTAACCCACATGGCGCAGCAGACCTCTCCTGTCTCGCCTGTTGCTCCCCTCAGCAGTATATTTTAGTCAATCTGCCTGTTCTGTTTCCCACTCTGTGTCTGATGAATCCTCTCACCCCCCACACCTCTAGTCTTATACCCCAGTTCTTGTATGTATAAATAAATCTTAAAAAAAAAAGAAAACCAACCCCCCCCAAAAAAAAAGAAAAAAAAAAACAGAACAAAACAAAAAACTTGATTTATGAGACCAGAAAAATGAATAAAAACCAATACAACTTATCCTAGGAATGAAAGGTTGGTTTAACACATGACAATCAATTCATCTAATGCATCTTTTTTTTTATAATTTTTTTAATAGAGGCATGTTTTATTTATTTGTTTGTTTGTTTGTTTGTTTTGTTTATACATGCACTGGGTACAGTCAGAAGCGTGGGAGGGTGAGAGAATTCACCAGAGCCAGAGCGGGGAGCAGAGCAGGCAGAAGGACCGAAGTACACTGCTGAGGGGAGCAGCGGGCGGCAGGAGAGGTCTGCGCGCCATGTGGGACCCTCCTCCAGTGGCCGGGGAGCAGCTGGGGATCGAACCGGCGCCGCAGAGGCCGCGGGGAGCTTCGCAACCCAGCGCTCAACCGCTGCGCCACCGGGGAGGCCCTAATGCATCTTATTAATAGAAAAAAGGCCAAAAAACATGGTAATCTTAATAGATGCAGTAAAAGAACTTGTAAAATCCAGTATCCTTTCATGATAAAAGTACTCAATAATAGTAATAGAAGGGAATTTACTCAAACTGATAAAGGCCATCCAAGAAAAACTGAGTCAACATCATACCTAAGGGTGAAAGACTAAATGCTTTCCCCTCAATACCAGGTACAAGACAGAGATGTCTACTTCATCATTCCTATTCAGCATTGCACTAGATGTTCTACCCAGGACACTTAGGCAAGAAAAAGAAATGAAAGGCATCCATATTGGAAAGGAAGAAGTAAAACTATGTCTACTTGCAAATAATAAGGTCTTATATAGAAAAAAAAACCCTAAGGAATCCCCTAAAAAACTATGAGAAGTAAAAAATGAGTTCAGCAAGGTTGCAGGATACATGATCAATATACAAAAATTAATTGTATTTCTATACACCTCTGAGGAAAGCGATGAAAAAAATTCCATTTAAAATAGCACACAAAAAAAACCCAAAATATTTTGGAATAAATTTAACAAAAGGAGTACAAATTTTATGCTTAGAAAACTACAAAACATTGTTGGAAGAAATGAAAGACTGAAGTGAATGAAAAGACATTACTGTGAAGTAAATCAGAAAGAGAAAGACAATATTCTAGTTTCCTCACGTGAATGCAATCGTTTATTATTTCTTTCTGTGATTGGCTTATGTCACTTAACAATGTCTTTATCAGTCATCCATGTTACAGAGTGTGACAGGTAATCGTTCTCATTAAGGCTGAAATTATTCAGTATTCCATTGTATATAGACCATATTTTGTTTATCTGTTCATCTGATGGACATTGGTGTTGCTTCTGCCTCTTGGCTATTATGAATAATGCTGCAATGAACATTGCAATGAACATTGCAATGCTGCAATGTACCAACCTTCCTTCCTTCCTTCCTTCCTTCCTTCCTTCCTTCCTTCCTTCCTTCCTTCCTTCCTTCCTCCTTCCTTCCTTCCTTCCTTCCTTCCTTCCTTCCTTCCTTCCTTCCTTCCTTCCTTCCTTCCTTCCTTCCTTCCTTCCTTCCTTCCTTCCTTCCTTCCTTCCTTCCTTCCTTCCTTCCTTCCTTCCTTCCTTCCTTTTTTCCCTCCCTCCCTCCCTCCCTCCCTCCCTCCCTTCCTTCCTTCCTTCCTTCTTTGAGGTTCTTCTTTCAATTCTTTTGGGTATATATCCAGATAGGATTGCTGGGTGATGGGTACTTCTCTTTATATTAACAAAGTGTTCCATTTGATAGTGGTGCTGGCTGCATAATCCTAGAATATACTAAAAACCACTGAATTATATATTTTAAATGGATGAATTGTATGCAATAAGCTGTATCTCAATAAAGCTGTTATAAAAACACAACTCTTAAAGACTGAATCAAGGCTACAGTTACCTTAAGGATTTTGAATGCACAGGATAATTAAACTTGTTAAATGACCAGACAATTTTGTCATTCAGGTCATTTTGACTCTTATTTTCAATGAACTGGCTAGATGTTTAGGCATTCCTTGAGAAAACCTAAGGGTTTCTTCAACATTGAACATTAGAGGAAGTAGGAAAAAAAAACTTTCTATACCTGTCTTTAATTCATAACACTAACTTCATATTTTGTGTCAGGAAATACTAAGAAATAGCAAGTTCATACTAATTATAGCAAATTTTATTTCATCTATTCTTTAGATGTACCATTCACCAGGTTTTTATTTTTTAAAAAGATTTAATTATTTATTTATACAAGAACTGGGGGACAGGCCAGATGTGCGGAGGGTGAGAGGATTCACCAGAGACAGAGTGGAGAACAGAACAGGCAGACTGATGATACACACTGCTGAGGGGAGCAGTGGGCACGACAGGAGGTCTGCTGTGACATGTGGGACCCTCACTGGCCGGCCAGGATTGAACCAGTGCTGCAGGCTGCAGATAGCTTCACAGCGCGGCGCTCAACCGCCTGCACCACCAGGGGAGGCCCTCACCAGGTTTTTAAAAGAGAAAAAAGGTAGGTGTTTATTTAGAATTCAGATTCACTTTTGAAATGTCACGATTATTTCACATAGAAGATGCTCAAAAGACGAAAATTTACCCTTATTTGCAATAAAAAGTCACAAAATTAAAAAGTTCTATGTCCAATGTCACTGACCATGGAAAGGGCAATAAATATGCATCAAATTCAGATTCTTCTCCTCTCTCATTGTTACAAACAACTAGAAAACACAATAGAGACGACACCGACAGTTGGAAATTCATTTTGCTTCACCATTTTCTTTTCAGCTTCATCCAGACATTTTCAATATTGTCAAGACTCAAAGATACAGCTTTAGAAAGATGAGATAATCTAAAAGATTTCTCATGATCTTTTTTTTATCAGAGCAGGGTTAAGTAAGACAAAATTTACTGAACTGATCATTTTTAAAACAACAGGTTGCATATCATTTACAGCAAAGAGATAAGCTTGTAAATCCGCTTTCCATGCTGGTCCCATGGCGTGGCTGCAACAGTGGTTACCATCTCATTACAGATAAAGTTTTTATATGGGACCGACGTTTCCAGATTACATTTTAAACACTTCAACAGCTTTCCTGAATAGTCTCTCAGGGTTGATTTTAAGGAAAGGCTGAAATACTAGCAATTGATTTCAGATACTTATTACAGATTTTCCAAAGTCCGTCTGCGTGCTGAAGCAAAATTATGAATGGCTACTCGAAGAGCTGAGCTCCCCTCAGGAAAATCACAGGAATTGATGACTGAATGTAGAGCCCGAGTATACGCTGCAAATAAAGGTTTGCACAGTGATGAAGTCAGATTCTAAACAACTCTCCTACTCTCTTTCCTATCAGTACTGCTTTTCAATTAATCACACATTGTATAAATATTTATTGAGTACTTTACTACCTGCTGAGTACTCTGTGAGAACAAAAAAGATAATGGAAAGAATGGACACAAAAATGACTAAATTGCAGTGTAATACTTCCAGACTAGATGCATATACAAAATGTCATCAAAGAATGAAGTTCAGAATGAATGTAAAGGGAAAGGTTACAAAGATTTCCAGAAGTGGTAACATTTCAGATGGTCATGAAGGATAAAGTAAGGAAAAAGTAGATATTCTAGGCAGAGAAATTAGTGTGTAAGGTGTAAAATGTATTTTAAAAATGGTGATGTATACTGGGAATAGCAAGTTTGATAAGGCTGAGCATCACCCACAGGAAAAACATGCCAATTATGTCATGCCTTTGGTACTGTAATGGGGAGGTCTGAGGTTTCAGAATAGGATGGTCACATGGTCAAATTTGTGTTTTTAAAATTTGTAACTCACAGTACTTATAAGAAATTCATATTCCACAAAGGGGGCACTAGGAATACAAATATTGGTAGCATTTTCGGTGTGTATATGAAGCCTACATTATCCTTACCCTACATAAATCAATATATTTAAGGACACAGAAACATTAGTGTCAAGGAAAGACCTCTGTTTTCTCAGGTAGTCACTCCTGATAAAGATAGGTTTATGCTGGACCTCGTTTTCCTCATTGTCCCCTGGTAAAACTGGCAGTCTAATGTGGACATAGAGGGGAGCAATTAAAGTATTAGGATAACAGGGAATTCAACTGAACAGAGGCCTAACTGAGGTGACCATAAAAGACAAGCTCTCATATATATTTATCATGTATATATAATTATCATTTATGCTCTTCCATCATGCCTCAGAGTTGTTTGGTAAAGGGGTCATAACAGTCTTTGACATATAGTAAGCATTCAATAAGTGCTAAACTACCAATATCACTTTTTTTTTTAATTGCCACAAACATTCCTCTATGACACTTACCTCTGTGGTTTTTATAGAACATACAATTGTTGGCACAGGTGTCAGGATGAGCATCCCAAAATTCAGGACCACAGCAGCACAGTGGAGGTAAAGTAATATTATACAGTTGCATTTTCTCCTGTACCTGGGCCCTTAAAGCTTCTACATACCTAAAAAAATATAGCATTGATCCTGATCAGAAAAGTACACCAGGTAAAGTGAACCAGGAAGAGAATGAGCTGTAACTGTTAAAACTATTTCATATCTCTGCGCCCCGACTCTTCTTTGTACTGGGGGAAATGGAGTACTATTCCTGAGAGGTATCAGGCAATCAAGCAAGTTGGTGAAATTCTGCACTCCCAAGTAAGGAAAGGTATGAGAAGGCACAGTCAACTCTCTTAAGGAAAATGAGAACACCGACTTCCTATCAAGTCTCCTTGCAGAACTGCATGCAGAACTTTTCAAAGTACCTTAGGTATTCCTTTTCTTTCTGCTGTTTCTCTCTGGCTTCTTTCATTTCCTCAAGTTGTAGCTGGGCTAATATCTCACTCATCTTCTCCCCTGACTGTGGTTCTTCTTGAGAGTTCATCTGTAGTATCCTTTGCTCTTCAGCATAACGTTGCTGCTCTTTCTTTTTCTTAATTCTGAGAATAAAATTATAACATGTTAAGAATTTCATAAATTACTTATACCTTGTTTCAGATCAACTAATTCAAGAAATTCCCAGAAATAAGGAAATCAGTTTAATATGCCTTAAAATAGCCTCAAAAATTTCTGATGACTGATTTTTTTTTTTATCCCACACCTCATGCACATACATAGAATATCATATGGAAACTACCAATGGATACTATTAAGAGTTTTTCTGTAAGGATCCTAATACAAACGCTTTCTCTAGCTAAAACTACAAATAGATAGGACTTATATGCTTTTGAATAAAACAAAGTAACAGAGACCAGATTTGCCCTCCTACTTTAAACAACCAAATAAGTAAATAAATCAACCATACAAAATATAAAAACACTGGTTTTCAAGACACTGAACATCAGGCAACAAAAGACAGCGAGTGATCCTTGACAGATGGTAAACAAATGACACGAAGCCTGTAACTGCCCAAGCCGTGGAGCTGAGGTGGAGGCCCGCGGACTCCCTGAGAAAGCGTTAATAGCAGCTTAGCACTTATTGAGTACTTATTATATGTCAAAGACATATGTTATATATTATAACCCCTTTACCAAATAATTCTCAGGCATGGTGGGAAGAACATAAATGATAACTATATATACATGATAAATATATAATAAATATCAGAGTTTGCCTTTTATAATCGTCTCACTTAGGCCTCCATTGATTTGAATGGAGCTGTTCAGTTTACCAAAGTCCAGGAAACAAGGGCAACTAGAGTTCATAGATCAGAATAGCAGAGGAGAGCGCAGTGAGAGAGAGGGAGAACCCTATAGATTTACAGAGGGTTTCCTTCTAATACCCAGCAGAGTGCTGTGCCTGTATGTGAGGAAATGACCGAAGGCTAGGGTCAGAACCATGCTAAAGGGTAACAGTGAACAGCGCCCTGTGCTCACACAGAGGTGAGAACAGTATCTGTTCCCACTAGCCAGACTTTAAAAACTTGTAATTCACAGGGCATGGGTAATTTTCAGGGAGGTCTTATCTCAGTAGTAGAGAATAATAATTAATTCCAGAAAGAGCACTGCTCCAGATACACCTAACAAACAATAAAAGTAAGCTCCCCAGTAACAAAAAAATCTAAAAACAAAGCTCAGGAAAATATATAGGGATATAAAGATATTCAGCAACTAACAAGGTAAAATTCACAAAGTTGAACATCTAATCAAAGATTATTAGGCATGCAAAGAGGCAGGAAAATACAATTCATAATGAAGAGAATATCTAGGTCACAATGAACCTAGAATTGATAGTCAATAGAAGAACACAGAAGGCCATTGAAAGTTATTACAACTATACTCTATATATTCAAAAAGTTAAGATATAAAAGACTGAAGAAAGGCAGGGCCCAAGATGATAGAATAGAGAATACTTATACTCAATCTCCTCGCATGATGACTACAAATCTACACCTAAAAATGGACTAATCTACACAGAAACAGATCTGAAACCCAAATGAACAGAGCTGCCAGAACAAAGGATTAAAAGGCTGTACCCAGAAAGGAAGACACAGAGACACTCTTGCCAAGGAAGAAATCCCATTACAAAGAGGCATAAACAGGAAGATATCACTAAGGTGCAAAACTTTTGTAAGTGGTGGTTTAAGTGATTTAAGGTAGGAATACAAATCTGTCTCCAATCAAGCCACATCTCTGCAGCCAAACAGGGCCCCCTGAAACACAGATGACTAGGGAGCAGACATGGTTACTGGCCATGCTCTCTGACAGCCCAAGGCCTGCAACACCCCACTCCTTATGGGCCCCACCCCCTACTGCAACATACACTAGCCAGGGTGGTGCCAGCATCACCACAACCCCCATGTGCTGCAGCAGAGGCACACCAGAAGCCCCAAGCCCATGCACCTAATACTATGGGGGTGGCAGTCAGTTGCCCTCTACATCTCAGCACTGTCAGCAGTTCGGCAGCATCCCCTGGCTGGGATGCAAACTAGGCCTGCCGTGCTACAAAGTCCACTGTGCCAGCAAGACCAATTATGCCTGTAAGGTCTGCAGTGAGGCTTCAGTTAAGTACTCTCAGTCACATTCCCAATATTATCTACAACCACAAGGCTCATCTTTCTACCAGAGACACGCCCACAAGGCCCCTACCACCAGGTCCCATACAGCTACCGCCTCTTGAGACTACAGACTGCTGCTGACCTAGTGAACACCAACATGGTAGGCAGCCTTGACAAACCAGTTCACGCCCAGAAACATCTCTGGGCAGCCACACGTTAAGGTTGGACCCAGAGCATTACCCAATGAGAACATATTAATTCCAAAGTTGAGGACAAACCCAAAGTACCACTGCCTGGCAAGACTGACAGCCCTAGACTGCCCAGGCACAGCAGGTAGGTGGATCATAAACTAGGAGAAAATATTTGCAGAAAGTATACCTGATAAAGGAATGGTATCTAAAATACACAAAAAACTTTTAAGCAACAATAAGAAAATAAACCTGATTCTTAAATGGATCATACACCCAAATAGACACCTTAGCAAAGAAGATATATACATATAGCAAGTAAGTATATGTAAAGATCATAATGTCATCAGGGAAATGCAAATTAACATAATAACTAGATACTACTATACTCCTAGAGGGGCCAAAATCTAGAATGCTGACATTATCAAATGCTGACAAGAATGTGGAGCAACAGGAACTCTCATTCACTGCTAGTAGAAATGCAAAATGTTACATTGACTTTACTGAACATATTCTAACTATATGATCCAGAAATCACACTATTTGGTAGTTAATCAAAGTTGAAAACTATGCCCACACAAACCCAATCCAAGGAGTAGATTTATTCATAACTGGCAACTCCTGGGAACAACCAAGATGTCCTTTAGTAGGTAAATTGGCTATGGTATATCCAGACAATGGAATTATCATTCAGTGCGTAAAAGAAATGAATTATTAAGTTATGAAAAGACACCGACAAAACTTAAATGCATGTCATTAAGTGAAAGTCAATATGAAAAGACTATATACTATATAATTCCTACTATATGATATTCTGGGAATAGCAAAACAGTCAAGACAATACAAAGATCAGGCATTGCCAGGAGTTGGAGGGGAAAAGATGATTAGGCAGAACACAGAGGATTTTTAGGGCAGTGAAACTATTCTGTACTATACCATAGTGATGGATACATGTCATTTATACTGGCTATAGCCAGTGTAATCAGACAAGAAAGAGAAAAGACATCCAGATTTAAAGAAATAAAACTGTCTTTGTTTGATGATGTCATAATCACTACCTAAAAATATCCAACAGAATTCTGAATAAAGTTACAGGGTACAAGATCCATGTCCAAAAATTAACTGTGCATTTCCATATACTGGTTACATAAACATCAGAAATTGAAATTTTAAAAAACGCCATTTACAATAGCATCAAATACATGAAATACATATAGGTGATGAAAGATTAGAAAGACTTATACACTGAAAACTATAACTGATAAAAATTAAAGACAATTTAAATAAATGGAGAGATTATAACTTTTTCATGGGTCGGGGCTCAGTATCAGTAAGATGTCTATTCTCCCCCAAATTATCTACAGATTCAACACAATCCCAATCAACATCCAAGAAGACTTTTTTGTAGAAATTGACAAGCTAATTTTATATGACCTAAAACAGCCAAGACAACTCTGGTGGGGGGTGGGAAGGGTAATTGGACAGCTAACCTATCTGATTGTAAGCATTATTATAAAACTACACTAATCAGAATCTCATGGTATTAACATAAAGATACATAAATAGGACAGAAGAGAAAGTCAAGAAATAAATCCACACACGTGGACAACTCATTTTTAATAATATTTTTATGTATAATTTGTATACCATAAAATTCACCATCATCACAATACAATTTGAGAACATTTTAACACCTCCAAAAGAAACCTGTACTTACTAATATTCACTCTCCACTACCTCTCCCCCAGTCCTTGACAAACACTAATCTATCTATAGATGCACATTTGCCTGTTCTAGACTTTTCATAGATATGGGATCATACAGTATGTGGCCCTTTGGGACTTTCATTTAGTATAATGTTTTTAAAGTCTACTCATGTTGTAGCATGTATCAGTATTTCATTCCCTTTTATTACCAATATTCCACTGTATAATATAATTCCATATAAAAATTTGTATGTGAATATTCACAATAGCTATTTTGGTAATAGCTGAAAACTGGAAACAACCCAAATGTCTATCAACATACAAATGGATAAACAGACTGTTGTACAGTCATGCACAGCTTAACAACAGGGATACATTTTGAGAATGTGTGGTTAGATGATTCTGTTGGTGTGGGAATGTAACATAAATAAATGGAGAGATATAACACTAACCTAGGTGGTAGGGCCTACTACACACCTAGGCTATGTGGTAATAGCCTGTTTTTATTGGGACCGCCATTGTATGTGGTCCATCACTGACCTAGCCATTGGCTGAAATGTTGTTAGGCAACACATGACTGTATATCCATAACTGTAATAGTACTCAATAACAAAAAAGATGAACTATTAATACATACAACATCAGAGGTGAATCTTAAAATAATTATACTGAGTTAAACGAGAAGAGCACAAAAGTACATGTTGCATGATTCCAGAAAATGTAATATATAGTGACATAAAGCAGATGAATAGTAGCCTAGAATGGGGGGTTAGGAGGGACAGCAAGGGGTAGGAAAGAGGGGCTACTAAGGACATGAGGAAGCAATAAGTTCACTAGATTGACTACAGTAATGGTTTCATACATATATGTCAAAATATCTGTCTGTACTTTAAATGTGTGCAGTGTATTGAACATTAATTATACTTTTTATATTATATTTTTATATTTTATACTTTTTAAATTATATTTTTTAAAAACCCATCTAAAAGTAGAGAAAATAAGCAGCTTATTGGGAAAATCATCAGAAAACCTAAGAAGCTCTTGTTAAG